GGGATAACGAAGGTCTGGAAGACGTAAGTCGTTACGCCATGGTCATCCCACTGGGTGCACTTGGGGTTGTACTCCAGCTTAATTTCTTTCCAGATCCCGTACGGATTTTCCTGTGAGACATCATGCATGGGACATGAGACGGGAGACACAGGGCATGATGCATGAGACGGGAGACACAGGGCATGATGCATGAGACGGGAGACACAGGACATGATGCATGAGACGTGAGACACAGGACATGATGCATGACGCGGGAGACACAGGACATAATGCATGAGACGGGAGACACAGGACATGATACATGAGACGTGAGACACAGGACATGATGCATGAGACGGGAGACACATGGCATGATGCATGAGACGGGAGACACATGGCATGATGCATGAGACATGGGAAATGAGACGGGGCGGGAGACAAGTGACATGATACATGAGATGTGAGAATGGGGACACAAGACATGAGACAAGTGACATGATACATGAGATGTGAGAATGGGGACACAAGACATGAGACAAGTGACATGATACATGAGATGTGAGAATGGGGACACAAGACATGAGACAAGTGACATGATACATTAGATGTGGAGAATGGGGACATAAGACATGAGACAAGTGACATGATGCATGAGATGTGAGAATGGGGACACAAGACATGAGACAAGTGACATGATACATTAGATGTGGAGAATGGGGACATAAGACATGAGACAAGTGACATGATGCATGAGATGTGAGAATGGGGACACAAGACATGAGACAAGTGACATGATACATTAGATGTGGAGAATGGGGACATAAGACATGAGACAAGTGACATGATGCATGAGATGTGAGAATGGGGACACAAGACATGAGACAAGTGACATGATACATTAGATGTGGAGAATGGGGACATAAGACATGAGACAAGTGACATGATGCATGAGATGTGAGAATGGGGACACAAGACATGAGACAAGTGACATGATACATTAGATGTGGAGAATGGGGACATAAGACATGAGACAAGTGACATGATGCATGAGATGTGAGAATGGGGACACAAGACATGAGACAAGTGACATGATACATTAGATGTGGAGAATGGGGACATAAGACATGAGACAAGTGACATGATGCATGAGATGTGAGAATGGGGACACAAGACATGAGACAAGTGACATGATACATTAGATGTGGAGAATGGGGACATAAGACATGAGACAAGTGACATGATGCATGAGATGTGAGAATGGGGACACAAGACATGAGACAAGTGACATGATACATTAGATGTGGGGAATGGGGACATAAGACATGAGACAAGTGACATGATGCATGAGATGTGAGAATGGGGACACAAGACATGAGACAAGTGACATGATACATTAGATGTGGGAAATGGGGACATAACACATGAGACAAGTGGCATGATACATGAGATGTGAGAATGGGGACACAAGACATGAGACAAGTGACATGATACATTAGATGTGGAGAATGGGGACATAACACATGAGACAAGTGACATGATGCATGAGATGTGAGAATGGGGACACAAGACATGAGACAAGTGACATGATACATGAGATGTGAGAATGGGGACACAAGACATGAGACAAGTGACATGATACATTAGATGTGGAGAATGGGGACATAACACATGAGACAAGTGACATGATGCATGAGATGTGAGAATGGGGACACAAGACATGAGACAAGTGACATGATACATTAGATGTGGGGAATGGGGACATAAGACATGAGACAAGTGACATGATGCATGAGATGTGAGAATGGGGACACAAGACATGAGACAAGTGACATGATACATTAGATGTGGGGAATGGGGACATAAGACATGAGACAAGTGACATGATGCATGAGATGTGAGAATGGGGACACAAGACATGAGACAAGTGACATGATACATTAGATGTGGGGAATGGGGACATAACACATGAGACAAGTGACATGATGCATGAGATGTGAGAATGGGGACACAAGACATGAGACAAGTGACATGATGCATGAGATGTGAGAATGGGGACACAAGACATGAGACAAGTGACATGATACATAAGATAAAAGAATCGGAACACAAGATAGACAGGATACATGGGACATGAGACGTGAGTTAAAGGATCTGATAATGAAACAAATTATACGAGACGTGAAGCAAGGGACATGACACTTGAGACAAGAGACATCAGCTACGAGACAACGGACTTGAGACACGAGACGTGAGATAAAGCAATAAGGTTGAGTCGTAAGACAGCAGTCATCAGCCTGGGGATCTCAGACAAGAGACAACAGACATGAGTCGTGAGACAACAGTCATCAGTCAGGGGATCTCAGACAAGAGACAACAGTCATAAGCCAGGAGACTTTAGACAAGAGACAACAGTCATCAGCCAGGAGACCTTAGACAAGAGACAACAGACATCAGCCAGGAGAGCTTAGACAAGAGACAACAGACATCAGCCAGGAGACCTTAGACAAGAGACAACAGACATCAGCCAGGAGATCTTAGACAAGAGACAACATTCATCAGCCAGGAGACCTTAGACAAGAGACAACAGACATCAGCCAGGAGACCTTAGACAACAGACAACAGTCATCAGCCAGGAGACCTTAGACAAGAGACAACAGACATCAGCCAGGAGACCTTAGACAACAGTCATCAGCCAGGAGACCTTAGACAACAGTCATCAGGCAGGAGACCTTAGATAAGAGACATCAGACATGAGACGTGAGACAATGGACATAAGACAGGGGACATAAGACGGGAGACAAGGGACATAAAACAGACGTAAGACAGGGGACATAAGACGTGAGACAAGGGACACGAGACATGATATTTAAGACACGGGACATTAGACATGACATGTGAGACAAAGGACATTTGACTTATGGCAGTGGACATAAGACTTGAGGCAATGGACATAAGACAAGGAATTTGAGCCAAGACACTATGCACATGAGACATGAGACGTGAGACAAGATACACGAGTCATGAAACACGAGACGAGGGACATGAGATTTGAGATAAGGGACATGTGACGTAAGATAATTGCCATGAGACATGGAATGTGAGACAGGGTGCATGGGGCATTAACATAAAAGACACCGGAACGGGATATGAGACACAGCAAAGAGACCTAATGTAATGTAATTATGTCCTTTAACATGACCAGACATCTGTGTTATCAGTACGAGGTACCAGCCAGCTCAAGATGCAATCATGAAGACCCACTAAGACAAATCAAAATTTTAACAGTCGCTACCAACGTTTAAGAAACTATCGCTACCGGAAGTGTAAACGTCCCGCATGCTCAAACCGTAAACTACGTGTGTAAAACGTGCGAATGTGTGTTCTTGTGTGTCATGGCGCCTGCTTGTGTGGTTCTTGTGTGTGTGTGTGGGTGTGTGGGGGATCCGATTACGTCACTTTGGTTTTATTTAGACAATGAAACAAAGAAAACCCTTGCGCACAGCTGTCTGCAAACGTCGTGACGTGTTGGCCTAGAGATAAAATATTGATCAAATTCGTCTTACCCTGAATCTCATGTGAGTCCAGCACCAGGCTGTGACGTCATCGGGGGGAACTTGCATGGCTTTTTTCGTCTCTACGCACACTCGGAGTCGCAAAGGCTCGTTCAAGGGGTTCCGGAACTCTCCCGGCACCTCTGGCTCGGTCCATTTGATGCGAAGTCCGTATTCGTTCCAGGTGTCCTCGCCGCTGATGTGTTCATCGAAGTTCTTGGGACGTTCGATCTCCGGGTCCATGGGTTGGAAGTCAGGGTTGTAGGTCACAGTTTTGCTGGCCACTCCCGAACTAAGGGCCATTTTGTTTTTTTTTAAAATTTACTTCAAGAATGAACCAAAAAATGGTATCCGCGAATTCTGGTATTTAACAACTGCTTAGCACTACACTACTTGCTTGGATTAGGTTTGATGTCATTTTTTAGGCTGGGCGCATTCCAGATGTAAGCAAAGCGCCATGGCCGTGTGGGGAACTAAGGTTAACTAATGACTTGACGTCATCCTTGCCACTTTCGAGGGGAACATTCAGTATGTGTTTGCTTCGGTGCGTTCAGTAACGGCTGAGATGTAAGGGTGCTGCGCATGGTGCGCATGGCGACTGTTAAAAAGAGTTGTGTTGTTTTGTTGTTGTTTTTTTCTAAATATGAGAGAACGCTAAATCTGATGACGCCATTTTCAAACTGGAAATTAGAATCTCAGCTCGCGGCACTTTTTTTATTGAATTCAGATCTCCTTTGATTTTTTATTATTTTGTTGAGTTCATTTGACACAATTATTATTATTTCTTGCTATTATTACTTTTACTAAAAATTTACTTCAATTTAATTGACACGGTGCGCCGTATTTCTCACCCAATGACACCCCCCCCCCCCCAAAAAAAAAACAGCAAAGAAACAAACAAATAAACAAAATAACTACCGACTCCATCTTTAGTTTAACATTCTTTTTAATAGGTCAAGCCCTCAAGGTCAGGACGAAGTTGAAACATTGAACTAAATTAACAATTCCCTTTGATGGGGGTCGATTTATAAACCTACTATAAATTATTTTCCACTCTGCATAGCCTCAAAGTTATCTGGGTGGCCGAGCGGTCTAAACTGTCGCAAACCAAATAGCTAATGGTCTGGAGTTAAATCCCTACCAAAGCCAACATCCCAAGCATCCCGGGTGGCTGGGACTCGTTAGCCTTGGACGGCAACCCATCGAAGAGAAGGCAAACTCTAAATTTAAACCAGGAGCCAAAATGATCAACAAATTGATCGTGGCCCCTCAAATATAAGAAGAATATTTTAGAGGACCTACTTATTAACGCTAGGGAAATTGTTTTGATCTAACAAATGCACAGATTCAAAAGTTTAATTGATTTTTTTTAACTTTAACGATAAACAAACAAAACAACAAAAACCACTACAACAACGCAGTCGGTGTTTTAATTTGTGCAGTTTATTTTTTATTTTAATAATTATTTTAGATATCAGTGGATATATAAAAAAGAGGTCAATGTTTTTGAGTGGATATAAAATACAGGGTAAATGGATTGTAGTGGATAAAAATATCAGGTACTTGAGTATCGGTGGATAAAAATACTACAAGGACGTCGGGAAATAGCAGTCAGGATAAGTCAAAGATTTTATCAATCCATTGCTTAGAGGGGTTTGTGTTATCATTAATTGTGTTAACATTTTCACATGCGTGGGTCTCAAAAAGGGAAGTCTTGGGACTCACATTAGGAAGAGTTGGGACCAGGAGCTCACATAAGGCAGAGTTGGAACCAGGAGCTCCCATAAGTAAGAGTTGGGATCTGGAGCTCACATAAGTAACAGTTGGGACCAGGAGCTCACATAAGGCAGAGTTGGAACCAGGAGCTCACATAAGTAAGAGTTGGGACAGGAGCTCACATAAGGCAGAGTTGGGACCTGGAGCTCACATAAGGCAGAGTTGGGACCAGGAACTCACATAAGGCAGAGTTGGGACCTGGAGCTCACATAAGTAAGAGTTGGGACCTGGAGCTCACATAAGTAAGAGTTGGGACCAGGAACTCACATAAGGCAGAGTTGGAACCAGGAACTCACATAAGGCAGAGTTGGGACCTGGAGCTCACATAAGTAAGAGTTGGGACCAGGAACTCACATAAGGCAGAGTTGGGACCAGGAACTCACATAAGTAAGAGTTGGGACCTGGAGCTCACATAAGGAAAAGTTGGGACCAAGACTACAGAGTGCGAAAAGGTGGGACCAAGAATTCAGAGAGTGGAAGGTTGGACCCAGCCCATCGTGGTTAGGCGTGGTCTGACCAGGTTGTCATAGATGGAATTGGTGGAACCCGAAATACATAGGGGGAAGGGGTTACACCAGGAACTCAGACTCGAATATGAACCACCAAAAGGTCCTCATGTGATCTAAAAGGACGTTTCGAATGACCTTACAATGGGAATGAATCCTAAGGAGAAACACTCTGATCGTATTCTTCATCATTACGACCTCTGTGCTTTTGTGGTTTAGAGGGGGGGGGGGCAGATAACATTGGGGAATGATGTATCGAGGGGGACAACAGTGCAAACACAAGCAATGTAAGGGAGAGAATGATGGCACTACTTTTATTCTCGGAGATAAAGACGCGTCAGAGCATCCTGAAGACCTTTATGGGGGTAGACAAAATGGCGGTCGTTGACAAACTTGTAGGCCTCCTCGAAGGTCAGGTTGGGATTCATGGCGAAGATGAAGGCTATTAGGATCGATCCGGCTCTGCCATGTCCATCGCGACTGGCCACCATGATCTTGGTGCAGAGGTCACTCATCGCCCTCAGCCAGAAGACTGCCTCTAGTAAACTGGTCTCACTGCGGGGGAGTAGCCAATCAATGGAGAGTGTTATCTTCAATGTGTCTTCACGCTACTATTATATGAAAACCCACATCATATGACGTGTGTCTTTAACTATCTGAAAACACACAACATATGGCGTGTGTCTTTAACTATCTGAACACACACATCATATGACGTGTGTCTCTAACTATCTGTATACATAGATAATATGACGAGCGTCTTTATCTATCTGAATACACAGATCAAATGACGTGTGTCTTTAACTATCTGAATACACAGATCATATGACGTGTGGCTTTAATGCAAAAGTTGATGATAAAGGAGGACACGCAGACCATATATGAAAACAGCGTTTCAATGGGTAAGTATCGTCTGCCATACATCTAATGACATGATACACTCGCTAAGCTTATGACAGTTAACACACTGTAACAATTTGTGGAATAGAACAGCTTTTCCCAAATGGTGGCCCGTGGGCAGGCATCGGTCCGTCAGAGTTGCGTTGTCGTTGTGCACAAAAGGAATATTTATAATCTTATAACACAATTTAAAAAAAATAAAATTAATTTGGTACCGATCCCTGATGCAAAATCGATCTTTATCAACCGGTCCACCAAGCGATAAGTAAAGCCACCAGTCCACAACCTATAAGTAAAGCAACCGGTCCACCAAGCGATAAGTAAAGCCACCAGTCCACAACCTATAAGTAAAGCAACCGGTCCACCAAGCTATAAGTAAAGTCACCGGTCCACCAAGCAATAAGTAAAGCCACCAGTCCACCAAGCTATAAGTAAAGTCACCGGTCCACCAAGCAATAAGTAAAGTCACCGGTCCACCAAGCTATAGGTAAAGCTACCAGTCCACCAAGCTATAAGTAAAGCCACCAGTCCACCAAGCTTTAAGTAAAGCCATCAGTCAACAAGCTATAGGTAAAGCCACCAGTCCACCAAGCTATAGGTAAAGCCACCAGTCCACAAAGCTATAAGTAAAGCCACCAGTCCACCAAGCTATAAGTAAAGTCACCGGTCCACCAAGCTATAAGTAAAGCCACCAGTCCACCAAGCTTTAAGTAAAGCCATCAGTCAACAAGCTATAAGTAAATTCACCGGTCCACCAAGCTTTAAGTAAAGCCACCGGTCCACCAAGCTATAAGTAAATTCACCGGTCCACCAAGCTTTAAGTAAATTCACAGGTCCACCAAGCTTTAAGTAAAGCCACCGGTCAACCAACCTATAAGTAAAGCCACTGGTCCACCAAGCTATAAGTAAATTCACCGGTCCATCAAGCTTTAAGTGAATTCACCGGTCCACCAAGCTAGAGTAAATTCACTGGTCCACCAAGCTATAAGTAAAGTCACCGGTCCACCAAGCTATAAGTCAAGTAACCGGTCCACCAAGCTGTAAGTCAAGTCAGGTAAACGCTGGCATAGCGCACTTAAGCCGTACATATCGTACACAATAACAGGACATCCAAACCCGCTCTGACCTTATGACATTATCCACACCAAAAGAAATGGGCAGTTTCTTGAGAATGATTGGCCGTGACAGCTGTTTGGCGTATACAGGGGCGTCGTCCGAGACATTGAGGAGGGCGTCGAAGCCGTTGAGGTGAGCCTCAGTGGCGGCTGAGTAGTTGCCGATGTAGATGTTGTGAGTGATCTGGGAAGGAAAATGTTAGGCAATGGTTAGGCACAGTTTAGGAGTACTCGAGACACGTTTTTTTGTTTTTTTTAATGGTCTAAATCAGTCCTGCACAACATACGGCCAATGGGGCTGCATGTGGCCCGCCAGCACCCACTTGGCGGCCCACGAAGTAACGATATATTCTTTATTATTATTTTTTTTCTTAATAGTTTTTCCCCTGTCATATTATCTTTCGGCCCGCAGACGTTTTCATAACGTATTACGGCCTGAACATTTTTTTCATAAAGTATTACGGCCTGTCTAATTTTTTTCATAAAGTATTACGGCCTGTCTAATTTTTTTCATAAAGTATTACGGCCCGCCTTACATTTTGAGTTGTACGGGCCTGGTCTAAATGATCGCCTGTACACACTGTGTCCGGAAACAAGGAAGCCATTTTTATGAAGATGAAAACTAATGGTAAATATTGTATAAATTCCAAAACTTATTTTAATCCTAACATAATGTTCAATTGTTTTTATTAAACAATAGTATGTGTCCTAAGTGTCCACCATTAGCTTCAACACATGCTCTCCACGGCCAAGCATTTTCGAAAGGGTTACAGTTTTTTTTTCTGGACACAGTGTAGATATTCAGTGTTGGACACAGTGTAGATATTCAGTGTTGGACACAGTGTAGATATTCAGTGTTGGACACCGTGTAAATATTCAGTGTTGGACACCGTGTAGATATTCAGTGTTGGACACAGTGTAAATATTCAGTGTTGGACACCGTGTAGATAGTCAGTGTTGGACACCGTGTAGATATTCAGTGTTGGGCACCGTGTAGATCAGTGGTTCTCAACTTTCCTAATGCCGCGACCCTTTAATAGAGCTCACCCTGTTGTGGCGACCCCCGGCCACAAAAAATTTTCGTTTTTCCTTTTTAACTGTAGAGCGTTTGTGTTTTCAGTTGATCTTAGGCGACCCGCGACCCACAGGTTGAGAACCGCTGGTGTAGATAGTCAGGGTTTACAAGGAGTTAGCTTAACCTTTATCACTGTCCGTGCTACGCCTTCGTCTGATGTCTCAGAATATATATGGCTAAATTTTACATGTATCAGTATGTCCTTAAGTCCTACCCAAGCATTTACGGCCTGTTGTCCTGATCCAGCAGAAGTCCAATGTCCTTACCTAGCAGTATGTCCTGATGTCTTAACCTCATAGCATGGCCCGACGTCCCAAACTAGCTGAGTGTTACTATGCCCTAATTCATATTTATGTCATGTGGTTCTAAACCAGTCGTATGTCCTAATGTCCTAACCCAACAGTATGGCCCTATGTCCTAACCTATCAGTGTTTCCCTATGTCCTAACCCAATTGTGTATGTTCTTGTGTCCTAACCCAGTAGTATGGCCCGCTGTCCTAAATAAGTCGTATGTCCTGATTTCCTAAATAAGTTTTAAGTCCCGATATCCTAAATAAGTCGTATGTACTGATGTTCTAAATAAGTCGTATGTCCTGATGTCCTAACCCAGTAGTATGTCCCGATATCCTAAATAAGTCGTATGACCTGATGTCCTTACCCAGTCGTATGTCAAAACCCTGTAATGTATGTAATCGCCCTGACATGCTCATGCTACTGGCCACTCATGTCCTGACTCATGCTACTGGCCACTCATGTCTCGACTCATTCTACTGACCACTCATGTCCTGACTCATGCTACTGGCCACTCATGTCCCGACTCATGCTACTGGCCACTCATGTCCTGACTCATGCTACTGACCACTCATGTCCCGACTCATGCTACTGGCCACTCATGTCCTGACTCATGCTACTGGCCACTCATGTCCCGACTCATGCTACTGGCCACTCATGTCCCGACTCATGCTACTGGCCACTCATGTCCCGACTCATGCTACTGGCCACTCATGTCCCGACTCATGCTACTGGCCACTCATGTCCTGACTCATGCTACTGGCCACTCATGTCCTGACTCATGCTGCTGGCCACTCATGTCCTGACTCATGCTAGTCGCCACTCATGCCCTGACCCATGCATCTCGCGACTCATGCTACTGGCCACTCATGTCCTGACTCATGCTACTGGCCACTCATGTCCTGACTCATGCTACTGGCCTTTCATGTCCTGACTCATGCTACTAGCCACTTATTTAACTATGACATAGGCCCCGATGAAAAAGTTATGAACTCACCTTGATTGTAATAGGCTCCTGTATGTAAGTTGTCAGGTGATCTGTCTGACGTCGTACCTGGAAGTAGACAAGACTATAAGGCTATAAAACAATAAGTCTATAAGGTTGTAAGACTATAAGGCTATAAGGCTATAAGACTATAAGGCTATAAGACTATAAGGCTATAAGGCTATAAGGCTATAAGTCTATAAGGCTATAAGGCTATAAGACTATAAGGCTATAAGGATATAAGGCTATATGGCTATAAGGCTATAAGGCTATAAGACTATAAGGCTATAAGGCTATACGACTATAAGACCAAAAGGCAATAAGGTTATACGACTATAAGGCTATAAGACTATAAGACCATAAGGCTATAAGGCTATAAGGCTATAACGCTATAAGACTATAAGGCTATAAGGCTATAAGGCTATAAGACTATAAGGCTATATGGCTATAAGGCTATGAGGCTATAAGGTTATAAGGCTATAAGGCTATAAGGCTATAAGGCTATAAGACTATATGGCTATAAGGCTATAAGACTATCAGGCTATAAGGCTATAAGACTATAAGACTATAAGGCTATAAGGCTTTAAGGCTATAAGGCTATAAGACAATAAGGCTAAAAAACTAAAAGTCTATAAGGCTATAAGGCTATAAGGCTATAAGACTATAAGGCTATAGGACTATAAGGCTATGAGGCTATAAGACTATAAGGCTATAAGACTATAAGGCTATAACACTTAAAGACTATAAGTCTATAAGGCTACAAGGCTATAAGACTATAAGGCTATAAGGCTATAAGTCTATAAGACTATAAGACTATAACGCTGTAAGACTATAAGGTTATAAGACTATAAGACTATAAGGCTATAAGACTATAAGGCTATAAGGCTATAAGACTATATAAGACTATAAGGCTATGAGGCTATAAGACTATAAGGCTATAAGGCTATAAGACTATAAGGCTATAAGGCTAAAAGGCTATAAGACTATAAGGTTATAAGGCTATAAGGCTATAAGACAATAAGGCTATAAGGCTATAAGACTATAAGGGTATAAGGATATAAGGCTATAATACTATAAGGCTATAAGGCTATAAGGCATTAAGGTTATAAGGCTATAAGACTATAAGACTATACGGCTTAAATACTATGAGGTTATAAGACTATAAGGCTATAAGGCTATTATACTATAAGGCTATAAGGCTATAATACTATAAGGCTATAATACCATGAGGCTATAAGATAGGGCTATAAGGCTATAAGGCTATGAGACTATAAGACTATATGGCTATAAGGCTATAAGGTTATGAGGCTATAAGACTATAAGGCTATAAGACTATAAGGCTATATACGACTATAAGGCTATAAGGCTATGAGACTATAAGGCTATGAGACTATGATGCTATAAGGCTATAAGGCTATAAGACTATATAAGACTATAAGGCTATAAGTCTAGGTTGAGGTCTTGACTTTGTTTATCTCAAACAATCGTTTGGTCAGGAGCATTGGATATCACGTACGCGTATGAAGCTATAATAGTAGTAAGCAGTGAAGTCAAACAGTGAGCAGAGAGATGTTGGGTCAATTTTTTTAGAAGGACATCACAATCTTGAATAGGTTTAAAACAGACACTATAGAAGGGGCATCACTATCTTGAATAAGTTTAAATCAGACACTATGGAAGGGAAATCACTATCTTGAATAGGTTTAAAACAGACACTATAGAAGGGACATCACTATCTTGAATAGGTTTAAAACAGACACTATGGAAGGGACATCACTATCTTGAATAGGTTTAAAAAACAGACACTATGGGAGGGACATCACTATCTTGAATAGGTTTAAAACAGACACTATGGAAGGGACATCACTATCTTGAATAGGTTTAAAACAGACACTATGGAAGGGACATCACTATCTTGAATAGGTTTAAAAAACAGACACTATGGAAGGGACATCACTATCTTGAATAGATTTAAAACAGACACTATGGAAGGGACATCACTATCTTGAATAGGTTTAAAACAGATGCTACAGTTTTTGTAAACCACATGTTTGGTACATTCTGTTTTCCCTGTGGTCGCAAGTGTTGATACCCGTAAAGATGGCTCGGTGATGATTGGTCAGTAATGCTTAACAGATGACATCCGTGAGTATAGATCTCAGGATGGTGTGTGGGAAAGGTTATGTCAAAAATTTTGAAAGTCTAAGAATGACACGTAATCCGACAATGGAATCGAAAATCTGGCAATTAATTGGCAAAAAAATACACTATCCATCATCCATGCCAGTGCTGAAAAGACTGCATGCCTCTCGGGGCGAACTCCCAAAAGTGAGCCCGTAACATACACGCACACATAACGTTTATTAAACCACCAAAAGTGACACCAGGTCCATCTTTCGATGACGTAACAAATGACCTCAAGACGCCCATTGATCCCGATCCACTCCGCCCACGTGAACTCCTCCTCCGTCTTGTGGCGCGCCCTGTATGTGAACGAGTAGCACCCCACGCACGTGATGATCAGGTCAGCGCCGTAATAGGACACACGTGATTTCGTATCGACCAATCGTTCTGTGGAGATGAAGTTCATCGGGACGCCATGCCACTCACCCTCGTTGTTTTCCTAGGGAAGATTATATGAAGCATTATTTATTTATATGAACTATGTTATCATGACATATAAAATATGTCATTTTATATGAACTATGTTATTTTCATATGAAATATGTCATTTTATATCAACTAAGTTATCATGACATATAAAATATGTCATTTTATATGAACTATGTTATCTTTATTTGAAATATGTCATTGTTTATGAACTATGTTATTTTCATATGAAATATGTCATTTTATATGAACTATGTTATCTTTATATGAAATATGTCATTGTTTATGAACTATGTTATTTTCATATGAAATATGTCATTTTATATGAACTATGTTATTTTCATATGAAATATGTCATTTTATATGAACTATGTTATCATGACATATAAAATATGTCATTTTATATGAACTATGTTATCATGACATAAAATATGTCATTTTATATGAACTATGTTATTTTCATATGAAATATGTCATTTTATATGAACTATGTTATTTTCATAATGAAATATGTCATTTTATATGAACTATGTTATCTTTATATGAAATATGTCATTGTTTATGAACTATGTTATTTTCATATGAAATATGTCATTTTATATGAACTATGTTATTTTCATATGAAATATGTCATTTTATATGAACTATGTTATCATGACATATAAAATATGTCATTTTATATGAACTATGTTATCATGACATAAAATATGTCATTTTATATGAACTATGTTATTTTCATATGAAATATGTCATTTTATATGAACTATGTTATTTTCATAATGAAATATGTCATTTTATATGAACTATGTTATCTTTAAAAGAAATATGTCATTGTTTATGAACTATGTTATATTAAAATGAACTGTGTAATTCTATATGAGCTATGTTATTTTTTATGAAATGTGTTTTTTTTATAAACAATGTTCTTTTGTATGGAAAATGTTATGTTATGCACATTGTAATTTTATATGAATTATTTTATTTTATATGAACTATGTTCATTTATACCAACTATATTATTTTATATGAGCTTTATGTAATTGTATATGAGCTATGCTATTTTGTATGAACTATGTAATATTAAATGAACTGTGTAATATCAAATGAGCTATGTAATTTTATATGAACTGTGTAATTTTATATGAGCTATGTAATTTTGTATGAATTATTTTATTTCATATAGACTCTGCACAAGTGGACAAAAGGTTCTACTTGTTAAAGTGGCGATGTCTGTGACTTAAGCCTGATCCTTCTACCTTGATGTCTGTAACTTAAGTCTGATCCTTCTACCTTGATGTCTGTAACTTAAGTCTGATCCTTCTACCTTGATGTCTGTAACTTAAGCCTGATCCTTCTACCTTGATGTCTGTAACTTAAGTCTGATCCTTCTACCTTGATGTCTGTAACTTAAACCTGATCCATCTACCTTGTGGTAAAGGTCCGTCCAAATTTCTACCACAAAATCTTTGCCATCACAGAGTGGGTCGTCAGGATACTTGAGGGCCAGTCTGCGTGAGCAACGAAAAGGATTGAGTGTCTGGTGTATGTGCTACAAACATATGGAAAGTTAGGCTTAGTTAGGCAGATATTATATCTATATATGACAGAATGTCTATGTGTTGTCCATTCGAGGAATCAAATGTTCAAAGCACTGACATCACGGTTTGAGTCTTAGTTATGCAGCAGAAGCTTTATTAGCCGTGTTGGGATGTGATTATCTCATGTTGGGAAGTGATCATCTCAAGTTGGGTTGTGATCATCTCATGTTGGGATGTGATCATCTCATGTTGGGATGTGATCATCTCATGTTGGGATGTGATCATCTCATGTTGGGATATGATCATCTCATGTTGGGCTATGATCATCTCATGTTGGGATGTGATCATCTCATGTTGGGATGCGATCATCTCATGTTGGGAATGATCCTCTCATGTTGGGATGTGATCATCTCATGTTGGGATGTGATCATCTCATGTTGGGATGTGATCATCTCATGTTGGGATGTGATCATCTCATGTTGGGAAGTGATCATCTCATGTTGGGCTATGATCATCTCATGTTGAGATTTGATCATCTCATGTTGGGATGCGATCATCTCATGTTGGGATGTGATCAGCTCATGTTGGGATATGATCTCCCATTTTGGGATATGATCATCTCATGTTGGGATATGATCATCTCATGTTGGGATATGATCATCTCATGTTGGAGTATGATCATCTCATGTTGGGAGGTGATCATCTCTATATACAGCTCACCCATATCTCAAAACTAGTAAACGTTTGAACAATGGACTTGTTCACACACCATAAATTAAGTATGTATCTTCTATACCACCATTTTTATCTCGCCCTTCCATACTATCGTTGTTATCTCGCCCTTCTATACCAACATTGATATCTCACCCTTCTAGACCATTGTTGTTGTCTCACCCTTCCATAATATCGTTGTTATCTCGCCCTTCCATACCATCATTGATATCATACTGTTCTGTACCAATCATTGCTATCCCGCCCTTCCAAACAGTCATTGGCCATTCGCCCTTTCATACCATCATTGGTAACCGCACCCCCCCACCCCCACTTACCTAAAGTGCATCTCATCTAGGAGGTAACACATTTGACACGAGGGGGCAAAGGGCGTCATGAAATAAAACTCGAAAGACGTCATCTTGATATATGTCCTTGACCTTAGCCCTGAAGATAAAAACAGGCGACCCCAGTCGTCATAACAATTATACGCATGAGGATGGGATGAACGAATTATTTCAAGTGTTGACATTGTCAACGACAATTTTGTTTAAATTTCCTTTGTTTTTTTTTTTTTTGCTATTTAATTGTTTAAGTCTATGCAAGCCTCGGTAGCTTAAATAAAAAAAAAAAAAAAAAAAAAAATTGCCCCGCAGATTTGACCAGTTATCGAATAAAATTGACCGTTACCAGATGGAACGAATTCTACCTGAATGTGTATTTAAATTCAACTTAATTGAACAGTGAGACAAGTTATTTATTTAGACTTCGGGCTTCTTTGGACCGAGTTCATGCACTTCCGTTTTTTTGAACTACACAGTGATTTCGCACCAAAAAGTGCACACTTCCTGATTTGAGGCACCAAATAAAACCTGTGCTGCTGCCAGAATTCCGCTCCACCGGAAGTTATCATTTACAAAAAAAAATTGAAACAGACATTCCATATGTAACAGTTTGCACCGCTGATCCTCCTTCAATCCCCTTGTTCAGTAGGATCCCTAAGAAACTGCGGAACACCACACGATGGTGAGCTTGTAGCCTCACTCCTGCATGTGGGACTTTGGGATTGTTCGCGGGATAAACAAGAAGACATACGTCCGTCAGTGACCCGAGGTGGCAACAGTGGACGCGGTCTGGCCGACACAAGCCGCCGAAATGGAGGCCGAGAGACCGCAATGCGACACCGAATACTGCACGCCTGAGGATGCTTGGGAGCAACTGCGCATGCGCATAAAGTGGACAGAACCGCAGACGCCTGGGAGTCTAAAAATAGCGATGCTCGATCCCCTGGATATAAGTGTTGGTTTTTGTGTCTATTGTATCATACCTTTCTATCCGGTCTATCCGCTGGATATACCTGTAGGTCCGAGTTTACGGATCTATCCATCCATCTAACCATCCATCTTTCCAGACGGCTATCCGTCCATCTACCTAATCACCCATTAACTTAAACATCCATTTATCCAAGAATCCAATCTCTCCAATCCCTAGGATCATTCATACATCGGTGAACGCTCCTTCTACTTCCAAGGGCACACGTTCTGGAACCAGCTCCCCTTCCATATCCGTCATTGTGAAAACTCGTCCAGTTTTAAAAAGTCCCTTTAAAACCCATCTGTTTAGGTCCGCCTATGACCTGTGATGCACCCTCCTTGCCCTGCCTCATTTTCTGTCTCGGGTTTTCCTGTAATATAGGCCAAAACGTGCCAAAGTGTCCTCGTTTTATAGCCATTTTAATTGTTTCTATAGTACAGTAGTTACTATCCTAATGTCTCATTTTTATTTTAGTTAGTTTACATGTTTTTAATAATTGTAAAGTGCTTAGAGCTTTAAGGTAAGCGCTATATAAAAATGCCTAAATAAATAAATAAATAAATACATCGTTCCATCCATGCATCAATTCATGTATCCATTTCAATGTATAAGTATCCACCAATCATTACATCTAATATGGTTATTTTATTTTTAAAATGTATCCATTCTTCTAAGGGGCCATCAATTAATGACGTCACGCAATTTTGGCCAATTGTAACCCCCCCCCCCCCAAACAACCGCAAATCATCACAAATGTACACCACAAATAAGACACAAATTATCACAAATGTATACCACAAATAAGA